CACAAAGCACTTTAAAGAAGTAATATTCATTAAGCATCATATTAGAGTAAAAGAATTTCCACCTTCAGTAAAACTGTTTTCAAAAAATTGTTTACTGATGACAAATTATTGAAATAAGAATTAATGCAGAAAACAAATATCTAAGACACTTAGGTAGATTGCATCAACCAAGCAGTTTTCTATGCTCGAACCCACTTTTACCAGTTCGAGAAAGGACAGCTGAATGTCTTCCGGAGAATTAAAAAAACCTTTTGTTCACCAGCTAAATGATTCGGGATATAAATTCAAAAGTGAAGTTCACTACAAGTTGAACAATCATCGAAAATAGAAACTTTCTAGATAACTACTCCACGCTATTATAACCATCGCAGGTACAGAATGAGAAGTTGTAACCATGGGTTTCGGTAGCTAGGGTGATTTCGGTTTAAAGTGATATTTATGAACCCATTCTACTCATGATAAAATGGAGGAGATAACAAATACTTCTTTATTTTTACTGGTTGTAGAAAAAGATGATTCTCAAAAATAGCGTTAATCGAATAGTATAACAAGACATTTTACATGTAACAAATCAACTCACAATTTGAAATTCACAATACGTTTAGGATCCAATGGAGAAGTTTCATCTTTAGCTGGTTTGCATAACTCCCAGTCAAATGATGAACGGTTGAAATATGGCACAATTGAGGAAGTTATATCTAGACAAGCAACTCCAATCGGACGTTTTAGCATAGAATTAGGCTGCTGTGATTTATCATTGCCACTACTACACCCCGCGGACGTTTTTCCCCCGGATTTTGCACGTTTTAAATGCATAGACCCAATGCGTGTCAGTGTGACCAGTAATAGAATACGCTTTTCTTGATATTTGAATGGATCAAGATTCTGTAAGATTGAGGATAATAGGAAGAATATGAATACACAAAGCATTTAAAAAGGCTGCCAAAACATTCAATTATGGTGAAAGGTGCTATAATTCAGTTAGCTTTAAAACTGATTATTACTGCAGTAGGGGTTAGATGACCTGACGCTTACTTTATTGCGTCAAAATGTTGTAACTAGGCTGGCGTGAAACCGTTGGCTTGGAGAACAATCCAACTTGTAAGTTGCTTCAATATTTAGAAATCACGTCGAAAATGTTCAAAAAACAGAACTCCCCAATAGATTTCTATGAAGTGGAACAAAAGTTGGGCAACATGACAGTGGGCGAGAATGGGATTGTTTATACTAGTACACTAACCGACTACTACGTAGTAACCAAGTTTACATTCAGTTGATGCCATCCTACAGACTAGATAACTCAGGTGCACTTTATTTCATCTTCAGTTGTTAAAAGATATTCATAGGAAGCAAAAAATTTAGGTTTCATACCTCCTGATATTCACAGCAAGAGATGTTACTTATATCGGCTTGCTTAGCTATACTATGTGCATACCAAACATGGTCGAAATAACTCTGTCAACGTTAGAAAATGGGTAAAATGACATTAAATACTACCGATTGACTAATCTATGTGTTCAGTCCATCCTTGCAGTATTTCTGCTGAAAGTCGCACAACTTATTAGTGATAACATAAAATACAACTTAGACTAGTCCTAGTTTCGTATACTAAGCTGTGAGCCACGCTTATTGCACAAACGATTACAGTACTGTTTGGCTGCTAAAGTCGCAGCAGCATGCAAGGAAGTGGATAGCAAGAGAATGACATCAAAGTAAACAAAAGTGTATGAGGAGAGAAACGACAAATAACTGGAGGGGATTAATATTTGCAACTTCGATGACGATAAAGAGTGCATACATCTACACCACTAAGAGCGATTTTGAGTTATCACTTAGTCTTCAACCATCAACTGATATGGTTTCAATGAATTCGGTCACATACCTTAAACCTTCCTACACAGATCGCAAAGTTGAGATTTTATGCATTCGTACTATTTCTTGGTCATGCTTATTTTCTTTCTAAACTAATCTTACTTCAATCAACAGGACATTTCAATGTAGGCGACAACTCAGACAATGTGACGTGTGTAAGTCACATAACTTGTTGGAGGTGAACAACCTTATTGACTCATATGTCTTCCTTACCTGATACTGTACTCCTGTCATCCTAATTATTATTGTATAGTAACATTTAAATGTCGAAACCCGTGGTTCTACCAAACGTTGGGAATCCTAAGTAGAAACCAATGATGAAAAACCTGTAATCTCCGGTCTTCTAATTCCAACAGCAGTCTCACAGCTATAATGGGATAGACTGAACTTCTGCACAGTATGCTCGCCTTCTCATATGTAGTTAGATTTAACTGGCGTACCCATGCCAAGATTATATTACCGACCAGCACGTTGGAACTCATGCAACTTTCCAAGCAGTTTGAATATTCAGTACGATCAACCACTTCACTCCCTACCCGTGACCTAGGAGTCGGTGAAGAGTAGCCCTGGAACGGTATATTACATTTGAGAGAGGTGAAACGTATCCTAAGTATGCTAAGATTTTCGCACACGGCTTTCGGAACACTCCGCATTTCGTAAGCGTCTTCAGCTAACAGGATTATGTCATTTGCATACCCCAAATCAGAAAAAGGTCTCCCGATAGTAATTTTATCTATGAGAAGTTAAAGGCAAAGAGGACTAAATTCATCGCCGAATCAATCACAAATTTAAGCAACAGTGATGTGTAAACATCCAGGCCATAGCTGTTACGAATGTCCTCAAAGAAGTAGAGAACGCGTTCGTCTATAGAAGAATGCCCCCAAAAGTTGCTTCTGGTAAGGCTGCGAAGAAAGCTTCTAAGGTGAAGTTGCCAAAGGTTGACAAGAAGAAAAGGGGGAAGGAGAGCTATGCCGTCTATATCTACAAGGTTCTGTGAATGGTTATAGAATAGGCGCAGTTCTGAGACAAACTGAAGGAGTAATGGGGTATGCCAGTCGTGTCCTGACATATGTAGAAAGAAAATATTCAATAGTTGAAAAGGAATGTCTGGCGATAGTTTGGGCGCTTGTAAATGGAGATCGTACCTCTTCGGTCAACGATTCTACATTGAAACTGATTATGAAACTGGGATTATATTAAAATTTACTTATTTAAGAACAACGACGGTTGAGATTCGCAGTGGACACCGTTAGGTGTCGGGACGTCAGATGGAAGCTCTCTGTAAGCACTTAAACGATTACATCGGCTGAAATAAAAAGCTCTGATTAGTATTATTTACTTTGTCGGAGAAACCAAAAATACGTCTCGTTTCACGGAGCGTAATGGTACTTCTAGGTGAAGAAATATGGCAATTAGTGAGCCCCGATAGGTATACTTTGTGTCAGAACCTGTCACATGGTGAAGTTTTGATCAACGCATTGTCGTTTATGTCTGAAACCTGCCTAGTTCGCCTAGTTTGTTGTTTCTGAACTGCAATTAGGTATCGAATGGTTATGGACACTAACATTTCAGGCATGATATTAGTCGAAATGATTCTACTGTAACTAGCACATGAAGAATTTTCTTCTTTCACATAAAGAGGAGTGATGAGCTATTTAAACTCTCACACCAAATCAGGACACTAGGATAAAATATAGCAAGAAAGATGAAGAAATGTAAATACTGTTATCAGTAGTCTTACAAAGTCAAAAAGGAGTGAATATTGAGTAAAAAACAAATCGTGATAGTTAAGACACAGGTAAGTAACGAGTATATCCCTGCCACTGTAACTAATTCTGAGCCATATCACCTAAAGTCTCTAACCATCAGCTAATTTCGTCATCAGAACTCCAATTAAGAAGCTGACATTTGCTATACGGCTCGAATCAATAGTCAGAGACTTCAAGATCCAACTTATTTTAGTTTGGCCACCAGTTTTTCTAATCCGACGCTAATCCAGCTAAAATACTGCGCCCAGGTAGACGGTGGACAGGTATGCGCAGTACATGTCCCATTCACCTCTGATGAAGGATTAAAATTGTGGGGATAACGTTTTAACTGCAACATAAAGTGAAATTGGTTCGAATCCACAAGGAAAGGCCAATGAAAAGGAAACCCACGTTCACGGCACTTTGCTAAATGCCTTTAGGCACTCACTAGTTTAAAATAGTGGTCAACAGATTTTCAGAGACAGTGGAATTTAAATCTAACATATAAGTGCACATCTACAGATAAGTAGTTATCTGAACAAAACTGCCTAAACAACAACTTTTACATTCTTCAAAGTTCGGTTTGAACATTACAAGCATGTACAAGGATAGACAGTGAAGTTGTTAAGACTAGATTACACTGAATTTATTCACACAAAGCTAGAGATGGATAACTTTGAGGATATTCAACCTTGTTTCAAAAATATAACGGAGTTACATGCATGTGAGACGTTAGTGCATGTAAGTAAAAACATAAAGTGCATTTTTACCTCTGGAAGCATAGTAGCAGATGCGATTCAATTTGCTTACAAATCAAAAAGTGATGAAGTACAGCTTTTTTGTATAGCACAGTGAAGCATGTACGGTACGAAGGTTCAGACAGTTATTAACATTGTGATGATTGAACGTGAAATGAAAATTCAGGTCGCGGCGGGGTTCGAACCGGCGACCAGCGGGTTTCCGGCCGGGTGCTCTGGCAACTGAACTACAAGTTGGCTAGTCAACGAATTACCAGTTGATGAAATTACAGACTGTCGTCCAAAGTGGGATATAGGACTACAGACCGTCTACGAAGTTCAATTAAACACTAGGAAAAAATGACGGTGAGCCAATGTCAACCAGGTTACTACTATCCCTATTAGGGTATGAAAACTTGGTTAAGCTCAAAATTTAGTATATCTAGGTAGAATAACAGGAATATAAGAACCCACTTACAGCCATACGAGAAAAAAAGACCGAAAAACGTTTCACAGGTCATTAAACTCACAGTGAAAATAACTTCATAGCTATCTTTAGCATTCCCATCTAGTGTGACATCTTCTGTGAGGCGCATAAGTAATGACGTTGGCTGTAATTCACTAACCGATATATTTTTCATATTCACACCAGTATGACTATCGTGTGTATCTTGACTACTGCTGAATGGAGTGAAATTTGTACCAGTAGAATTCGAACTACCAGAGAATTCATATCGACATTTGGAACGAGATTGGCTGGTGAACTGACCAGATTATTGGGGCTTTGTAAAACTTGACTGACCAAATACATTGTTAAAAATGCTTCAGGTAGATTTTTAAAACGAATACGTAAATTGAACGGGTGATATGCCGGACATTGAGCGGAGAGCTATTGAAAATGACATGAAATAAAAATTACAAAACGTGAGTTTTCGAGGCTGCTTATAAGCTTTTTATGATGACAAACTTGAGCGTAACTTCGGCTTTCATGACATCAAAATCACAAAACAACAACAGGGTTCTGGAAATTTGTCTAATATGCCGTAACACAAAACACACCACTACTATTTCCCACTCTTATAAATTCCTTAGGGCGAACATGAAGCGTTTAAGTCTAGAAAGAATGCCGATGATATTCAGATATTCTGCGGTTTGGACTCATTGGTTTAGGTACTTACTGAAGGTCATTCCAGACCAGTGTGTCTTTATTTGGATCTATTTGGTTTAGTTTATACAAAGTTATTTTTTTGCTGGTGGAAACCAATAACTTCTATTACGGATAGCCACTCTTACTACTTTTATTTGACGGCACCACAAAGACTATCCTTGATTAAGCGTGCTTCGCTGACTTGGTGTAAAGCGATTTCTCACCATAGATTTAGATGAGTTAGAGCGGAAGATAGCTGTGTAGGCTTATCATAATAAACAAGTCCCCTAAACACCAATAGAAATGTATCGCAAGTTACATAATTTCCATTTTTTAGATAAAACTGCTGCTATTAGACAAGTCTGAAGTTGTCTTTCAACATTCAGTTTGACTGATTAGGTATGCGACAACAGTAATGAAGAATCTGTAAATATACGAACACAAATCATTACACCTGACTGATAAAAATCCGCATCTACGAACTGAACAAAACAAGTGAGGACTGATTTTTGTAAAGGCGCTTCATATCAGTCTTTTTTATGACTCACCGATGTTACCAAATTAGTCCAAACGGTGGGTCATCTAAGACCAAAACAATTTGCTTTTCATAATTTTCAGTGAAATGTTAGTGTTCTTGTGTAACTTCACATACTACATAGACTGCTGACTGCATTAAATCCAGAAAGCAGGAGAAACTTTAATCTTGTAATAGGTATTTATTATGTTGGCCATAACAGGCCATATTTACAAAGGAATAATGATTACTAACCTCTGAATCCTCGAGATCTCTTATAAGCTTTTTGTGTTTCCAATGAAGATCAATAGGAGATACAGAGAACGGGTTAATGTACCTGAAATTCTCATCCCGAATAATAAACGGTAAGAAAAGTTTACTAAGTAGTAAATGAAATAAAAAATCTTTCTGTTACCTCTGCACCATTGACATATGCATGTGTAGCTTTTTAGACTAGAAATAATATCATACTGTGAAAAAAATGAGTATATACTAGTACATACCTTAGTAATCCTCTCAGAAAGTGCATATTTCAGATCAACTACTCCAGAAAGTGCCATACAGTGCTTATTCATCCTTCCATATTTTCCAGACTACTTTATATCAAGGCTATGCTGACTTACCACAAACATGGATACTAGTTTCTCTGCCATCATCTGTAATTCAGCACTGACGCCATCAGAGAGTTCTTCTCGTTTGAACGTAACACATGCTTTGGGGAATACACCGGATTTAGATGAAGCATTCATCTTGAATCCATAAAACCACTCTTGAGAAAAGATAATATAGCATTATGAAACCCACCATCACAGTGCCGCAGAATAAATACATCATCACCAATGGATATATCCAGCTTATCACCGCTGTCACTCCGAAAAGGGTTAATAACTAGGAGGTAAAATTCAAGTTCCAAGGACACATTACATACCTACGGCCCACTTTTTGTTTTCTTCATATGGGATCCACCTCATTATGAAATGCAAAGCGAAAACCCCTGTTAATATTGAAATACAACCACTGAGAGAAAATCAGCCCGGGCGCTTAACCTCTAGGCCAATTGCGTGAAGGTTAACAACACCCGACACCACTATCCAATATCTGTTTAACGAGCTTGTGTAAGCCAGGTGATTTCTTCTTGGTCGCTTCTTGGTCTTGCGGAACGGTTCCAGGTCTTTTGTGGACTCCGATGCAGTAGATTCAGCCACTCATCTGCTATAGCTCTGGTATACAGAACAGGAGGTTGTGTTGGTTAGTTCGCCTTGGACTGTGGTACGGTTGGCTCCTTCAGATATCGAGTTGCCAGACAGTTGTTTCGGACTGGTCGTTTGACAGAGTTAGGGATAGTGAAGAGAAAACCTAGAAAGGAAAATTTGTGCGAGCGAAAGGGAAAAGAAAAGTGAACTTATGGACTAATCTATTTACACCCAAGTTGGGTCAAAAGGGGTGCAAAGATACGAAGAACTTGGGTAGGTGAGTCTAACTCATGGCGAGTGGGATGGGCGAAAATGGCTTAAATGTTTATAGTAGAAACAAAGCTGGTCGTAGAGGTAAAGTAGTTGGAATGGCGTGGCATCAGTTGATTTTTGTTTGGTTCATGTTCCAGTTATATGTGGATAGACCGTTGGTCTCTGAGTGACTGTCTGGCCTTTTCTTGAAGCCTTCAACAGATGGTGGGGAGACTGCCTCCACTGATAATGCATTACAGGGCCCGTAGACCAGGAGGGAGAAGAAGTGTGAACGTATATGGGTTTTTGACCTTTGGTGGGCAATCCTCTTAGGGTTTTTACGAGGATCATCATAGTGGCCACTAGGTATTCACCCTCCGTTCGGGTGACTTGGGTTGTTCGGTATTTCGTAAGCTATTATCGAGTCACCTCGAAATGTTCGGCAGCTAAGAGAGTATAGGCCTAGGTATTTCGGTCTATCCCCATATGGTTCTCGTTGCATCCCAACGACCCCTTTTGTGGCTCGCCTCTGAACTTTCCCCAGTAAGTTTGTGCCTCTTTTAAGTTGCAGTGGAGCTAGAACGTTATGGACCTCCAAGTGGGGTCGCATCTAAGTATTGTAGGGCCTCAGAAAGAGCTCTAGGGTGAAGGTTCCTAGGTGCCTGCGCACAAAAGCAGTACACCCTACGCTTTTGAGAGGCCACCTGGTTAGTTGGAACTGGTGTCCAGTTTCTCCGTCGCCCTGATCTTTTTCTGCTATGATGTGGGATAGATGTGGACCAAGTAGAGAGTGGGATGCCTTATAGGGACCAGGAGTTCGGAAAAACGTGGACCAGCACTTATTCAGGTTAAATACCACCTAGTTATTAGTTTCCCATTCCTCTAGTATGTTGAAGTCGTTCTGTAGCGCAGTTGATTCCGCTTCACAAGTTACTGCCCTCCGCAACTTGACGCCATCAATACAGATGAGAACTGGAGGGCTGATATGCAGCAGGAAGTCATTCAAGATCAGTAGGAACAACAATGAACCCAGGGTTGCTTCTCGCCAGGTACCGAACGGTGATGTTCTTCAGATTGAGTGGACCCTGTTGACTTTTGCGCAGAACTCCCTACTGTCTAAGTAGTTCTGCAGCCACGATAGCACCCGGCCGCGGGTACCTAACCCAGCTATTTTGTGTATTAGGATGGTGTGTGAGACAGCGTCAAAGGATTTGGAGAAATCCAGAAAAGTCGCGTGGACCGAGACCTTGAGACCCCAGCATGCTTCTCAGTGATCATGGACCATCAGGAGGTTGGAGGCACAGGGTCTGCCCTTTCGAAGCTATGTTGAGCGTCGACGAGCACTTGCTCGTGCCCAGATGTTCCCTGATGCGGTAGTCCATCACACTTTCCATAACTTTTGACATTATGGGTAGAAGTGCTACGGGCCTATAACAGTTTGGATTCAGCCTGTCTCCTCTTTTGAAGATAGGTGAGAGGATAGCCCGTTTCCACTCTCGCGGAAGTTTTTGTTCGTCCAAGGAGTGGTGGAAGAGACCGCAGAGTGGGCCACTTAGGGCACTTGCATATTCTTTCAACACAGATGGACGAATGTCATCGCACCCCGGGGATTTGCTCACGCTTAGCTTGATAGCTTGCCGAGAACAACAGCACGAGTTATCTGTATTTCGTATAACTCTGCAGCATCGGATAACTTTGGTGGCTTTTCTGGCAGTGGGTATGCATACTTTCCTGGCAGAATCGTTTTGGGCGGTGGTTCCTTTTATCAGCCATTGACAATGGCATTTTTGTTGAACTTTAACCATTTCTTCTACTTTGCCCTCGTTCGTAGACAGCTAACTCACCCAAGCGACAGGCTTGTAAGTGGTTCTCATGATCTGCTGACAAGTTGATTTCATTGAGAACTTGGTCTTGCTCTTTCATATTCCCGATTTACGCTGTTTGAGCTTGCCTATAGAGCTTCACGCCTTCCCAGACCTGAAGGGTTTGACTGGGGTCGAAAACTCAGTGCTTTTGTAACGTACAACGGATGTCCACGCTCCTTAGTGGTCATCCTTACCCTGGATGATCATCGGACTTTCCACCTCATCGGTCAACGATGAATCTTATTGACGGACTGCGAGACTATCGACATCGGTGACTGTTGAGGTGCGCTGGCTTCAGCTCTTATCGAATGACTTTCTTTCTTTGGCCAATGATGAGTCCAGAGCCCTCGCCACTGGTCGCTGCTTTCCAGTTTTTTAGTTTCCCATTCTTTTTTCTCCATTTATTATCAGTTTTTTCTTACATCTGCCAATGTATCAGTGGTCTTCTCAAGGGCGTCACCCACTTCAGACCCACATGAGAGGCAATGCCACTTGCGATCAGGTTTTACTGAGTTCGCTAAGAGCGCACTGAATCTGTGCAGGCATCATGGGACCACCTGACAGCGTGGACCACCTCATACTGCTGGCAAAAAATATTCAACCTATCCCAAACTCTCCTTGAACACTCCTTGTTTCATGGGGGCTAGTCTGTTATCTTGTGCTCTAAGAAAGGTTCCAGGCCCGCCCAGGAAAGTTATCGTTCATTGTCTGTCCCTCCCCGTATCGTAGTGAAAGGCGTGTAAGATGCCATCTCACAACTCCCAGGACACGAACTTATGAGCCCTCATAGCGTGGACTTTCATCCAAGAAATCTTGTGCCACGCGTCGCTCAGAATTCTTCGATCACGTAATTGACAATAAAGGCGATGGAAAAGTGGCTGTCTCGCTTTATTTCGTTTCACCCAAGCTTTTGACAAAGTGAATTATTCTTCACTCCTTCATAAAGTAAATTTTTTCGGGATAACTGGCAAGTTGCATGACTGGATTTGCTCTTATCCACTGCCAAAAGAGGCGCACAGTCTTCTCTTCCCGGAAATATCACCAGTGGATTGATCCAAAGCTCTCTTCTTGGACCCCACCTCTTTATAATGTGTACAAATGACATATATGGCTGCTTTAAGCCGGAGGAAACCATCTTTCTTGTGGATGATTTGAAAACAACGTACATCTTCGCCGTTATCCATGTAGCAGCATCAATACCACCACAAAATGGCCTTAAGTCCAGAGATGGTGTGACACCGGGCTACCTACCGCTGGATGAGCAGATCTTTCCTCATGTTCTTCGGTGAACAGGGCGCGCAGACCAACCTTCGACCGGACAGCCTAGCACTCCAACAACTAAATAACACTTACGATTTTGGAGTAAAGTACTAGTCACCTTTCTTTTACAATTGCAATTATTACCTTCAGTGACAGGTCCTACCAATAAAACTGTTGGCTACGATTTCCAGTCTTCGCAGGGAATTTCTGCCGAATTTTCCCGGGCCTCTTTACCGTGTTATCTCGTCCTTCTTGTTCTCTTCCCCTCTGCAGATGCTGCTTTAGAAAGCTAGCTTTGTAGGTTAAAAGATCCTACCGATGTAATCAAATAGAATAATCTGGTTTACCGAATCCCTTGCAGCGATTGCAAGGTCAAACACAGGTGAAGGTAGTCGCCAGGGTTAATGAGTAAAATAAGAGAACACAAAAACGTGGCCAAATCAAGATTAGTACGTCCAGTAAGATAAGAAATCTGGAAAAAAGCTCAGCTATATGTGTAGACGCAATTACACACAATCACACGGTAGAGTGGGGGTAGAGCGACTGCGTTAAAAACTGACTAAATTGGGTGGAGGTAGAGATTGATTACGGAATCTTTGTTTATCGAATCCACATCAAATACGTGCATTGACAGGAATGATTCAGTAAGTGTCCCAGACATGGAAAATCCTGCCACCCTTGTTATCACAGAGAAGGAGAAACAATTAGGACTATATAAGGTGTGTTTCAAGGTTGTGGGGTTGGTAGCTTCATATGAATGTGTATTGACGTTATCGAGTAAACAATACTGTTTCACTGTGACACTCAATAAACAGACTAAAGTGGAATCACAGTCCACCACAGTGCCTAAGTTTTACTCCCTCATCAGCAGAAACACTATTTTATTCCAGAACTTCATCAGGCCTACTGTTTTTACATAAATGTGAAACTATCTGCTCAAAAACCACTAACTTACATCGAAATGGCATGCTTACCGGTGATTGTACGTCTGACGAACATTTTATGCAGTCGATCTGCTACTATTATGCTGCTTATGGGCTCTTTATTCTGAAAACACTCATTTTACAAGTTCTGGAGTCTTTATGTTCCTACTTATCTCTTGGTGTTTTTGTGATCACTTGCAATCCCCTGACGCAAATGGTGAAGTCCACCCGTTGAATTGCCTATTGCTTCATCTCATTTCGGACTCACATTCATTTACTGTCTCGTAAGCACAATTAAACGAACTTCTATTTACTTCTATTCCACTTACGTTATAGAGACTCCTGCTCCCTTGAGCTGAAAGGATATATCTGAGTGCACGGTTTTTTGTGTCGGTAAATTGTATGGTGTGCATGTTATCATTTCTCTCTCTGCACTAAAAGTGAACTACTTTTAAGCACGCATTCTGTATTTGTCCCA